CATGTTAATTTTATTTCTTTAGGTGTTAATGTGCGTGTTCCATTGGAATTTTTTGTCAAAGGTAATCCCCAGGTATTTGATGCGATTCTCCCAGTCTATTACGGTGTCATTTACTTTTAATTTTGGTTGATTTTGCTGATGTTTTCTGGTTATGAATATTGCCTTGATTTTATCGTTGTTAATTTTAATTTTCCATTTTTGGAAGTAGCAAGTCAACATGTTCCTATAAGGTGTTACTGACGTTCAATGCATTTTTGTCAGCGTAGAATATACAGGTATCATCTGCATATAGGGCTAGTTTCGACGGTTCTAGCTTTGGAATGTCGGATGTGGAGACAATGGAGAGCCTTGAGGCACCCCTGTTTCAATAAATCAGGGGGTTGATAGGTGATTATTGATTTTGAATCTGAATTTAGGAATTCCAGTTAAATTCCTGAAATAAAATTATTTTATAAATTGAATAAATGAATTTCACTTGAATATAAACTCACAACGTTCTTATTTTTATCTCGCTGTTGTTGTAAAATAAGCCGCACACAAATTGAAATAAGCCGCACAGAAATCGAAGCCGACACCAACAATTATTAATATATAGAATAGCACAACGTAAATTAGTTGCCATGAATATTTTTATAAAATTAATTTATATAGTAAATTAAATATTATTTTTAAAACCACTCGAATTATTTTTAAAATATGGAAAAAATTACAACGTGTTTGTAAACAAGTACGCGAATGTCAAAACATAATTCTCACAGCGAATTAAAAACCGGTAGCAAAAGTTGAGGAGAAGGTGAGAATAGGAAACAAGTGACACAAAGAGATAAACTAACACATGTGTGATATCAAATAAATCAGCAGGGCGAATTCTAAAACGGCAATCAAAACAAATAACAGCTGAAGCAATGTATGCGCTACAAGAAAAGCTTCGGTCGATTTAGTATAAATAAGCGTACGTGTTAGAAGAAAAATCACTTGTTGGAAAACTCTCGAAGGCAGTTATACGTCTTTGCGAAAACAAGGCATTAGAAATTTGTAGCTTTGTGTAAACGTCAAGGTAGTTCATACGTCTTGACTAGTAGTGTTGTATAAACGTCAAGGTAGTTCATACGTCTTGACTAGTAGTTTTGTATAAACGTCAAGGTAGTTCATACGTCTTGACTGGTAGTATCGTCTTGACGAGTAGTGAGTAATAAGTCAAGGTAGCTTGATGTTCTGTAATCCGAAATAAAATTCCAAGTTTGAATTCCAAGTAGAGCGGCATCTGTCCGGAAATACTATACAACGCCGAAAATTCCATAGAAGAACATTTCATTTCTTTTTCTTTCTTTTTTTTTTTGAATTATAATTATAAATAAATCAGTAAATTACATATATTAAATTGTCTTTGATTTGGAAAAAAAAATAAATTTTATTGCAACGACCCCTGGACGAAGACTGAGTATACCTCAGCATCATCAGCGACAGAAAGTGTGTCGTTACAGTTTCAGTCTGCAGTCTATTTAGGATGACTCTTTCAGCTAGTTTTCCCATAGCTGGAAGTAGGCTGATAGGGCGGTAGTTTTGCGGGAATGTGTGGTTCTTGTTAGGTTTCGGGAGCACAGTTACTATTGCTTCTTTTCATTTGTCTAGAAATTTACCCAACTGGAGCATGGCGTTGATGATATTATTAATTATGCTGATTGTTGCTTCAGGCAGAGTTTTTGATGCAACTGTTACCAATTTTATCAGCACCTGGAGCCAATTTTGTTTTGACTGAGGAGATAATAGTTTACAGTTCGTCGATGCTGCACGGCGAGATAGGTAAATCAAAGATCCTGCTCAGAATGGCTTCCACTCTTTCTGCAATTAATTCTTCTTCATCTACATCATCTAAAATATCATAGTTATCTAGGAATTGCGACTCGAGGGAGTCTGCGAATTCTTCGGCTTTATCCTCATCAGGGAATTTAAGCCCGTTGGGGCCGTGTATTGGTGGAATTTGAATCTTGCTTTTCAGTCTGAAATATTTACTGATATTCCAGAAGGCTTTATCGCCAGTTTCGCAGCTCGTTAGAAATTCGTTCCATTTGTGGTTTTTGAATTCACGCACCAGTTTTCTTACGACATTGGTTTGATGGTTTGCTGCTCTCTTTAGTGAGGGGTCGTTTGTTAGAAGGGCTCTTTTTCGTAGTCTATTTTTGTTTTTAATTAAGTTTCTAATGAACCTTGGGAGAATAAAATAGTTCTTGGCGCTGATGGTTTTTAAGAATGAGTTATTGGAAATTGTATCTTGGATTTTTGACGTGATTATTTCTATAGTGTTGTTTAGGTCTTCTATGGAATTTATTGGGAGTAGCTTTCCATTTCGTGTCGGAATTGTGTCCAGTTTGTCATAGTTATCACTGGGGGTGGAGATTCCAAAAGCGTGTTTTCAATAACGAACAATACCGGCATGTGGTCCGAGTTTAACTCCTCCAGTACTTCGATGTGACAGTTGGCATCTAAAGATTTTGAAATACCGATGTCAAGTATTCGACAGGCCCCGTGGCAAAAGTGTGTTGGCTCTGTTGGGCAATGTAATGTTTGTGCCTGTTCTGTGATCAAATGGTCTATCTCTCTTCCTGCTCTGTTTGTGCTTCTTTCTCCCCAACCTCTATTGTAAGCGTTGAGGCCGCCCACAACAAACGTCCACATCTAGTAGTAAGGTTAGATCGTTTAGGTACATGTTGTTGCTTGGTGCTTTATAAACAGAAGATAATTTTAAATGAAAGCTATCTGAAATTATCTTGATAGTGGTAGCTTCGAGAAAGTTAAGATTATAGCTTATGAGATGATGTTTGATAGAGTTTTTAATGATTATCGCGGTGCCACCACCATGCCTATTTGGTCTGTCCTCCCTGTGTGTTATTTAATTTAGGATTTTAAATCTGATTCCTGGTTTTAAAAACGTTTCTTCGACCAGGAGAACGTCGATCTTGTGCTCTGGATCATGTTTTGCATCATGTAATTAATTTGTTACTGCATATTAGCAAAAAATTTCTCGAATTGGGCAGCTGGGGGCATTGAGTTTGATGTTTTTGGTTATGAAGATTCTTTGGGCTTAGCAACGCTTGAGTATGAAGCCGCTTGAGCGG